TGTTGTGTAGTTATAAGTAACACTTTTCCCATCATTACAGTAGAAGAAAATACATGAAATGCAGTCAAAGAAACAAAGAAATATAGTCATCTCATATTAGCTTATTTATAAAATATTTCAACCTGGGTAAGGACCACTAAAACAAGAAGATCATGTGCCTACAGGTTTCAGTGATGGAATCTGGTCCTGCTACATCTGTACATGAAAATGGCCATGCACTAGGCAATTTTGTGGCAGTAAAGACACGCTCTTACAGGTCTCAGTTACTCAGTTACACATATTAATTACACAGGTTCTGAGGCTAATTTAAAGCCGATAAAGGCACTAAGTGAGTTTAATTACCACCTTAATCAGCCACAGAACCTGAGATGAGGTTTTACAGAGATGAGGTGGCAATCCCAGTGATTGGATGGATCTAATCCACCAACAGTTTTGATCATTTGATCTTTTCACAGTTTAGAGAGAAACTGTTGGTGATAGATTTGCATTTTAAACTGGGTAAAATTGCCACAACATTGCTTACTGTATGGCCAGCATGCAAATCAAAAGACATTTTTAACAAAGAAGCACTGACAACACATTATTGTTTTAAGAATATGAACATCTTTTCTTTAGGTAACAGTTAACCATCAAGGGCTAAATTTACTCTCGCAAACCCATGACATGTTCTTAACGGTTGTCTCATAAAGTTTTTATTGTTTATGTCTATTATAGTAAATATTCATTTAGAACATATTTAGAAATTGTACTCTAACAGCAATGAGTCAGCTGGAAACAGTGCATGAATATTAACTTATGACAGCCTTTCTCAAACAGGGTTTCATGGAACCCTTGGGCTCCTCCAAACATTTCTGGGGGTTCCTTAAGCATTGAGCAATTTCTACTTCTCAGATAATTAACTGCTAACACCAATGACATTTTTTACCTACCTGTAAGAAGGAGGAAGATTCTTCCAACTGACTACAAATGTAAGAAGCACTCTTCCCACTGACCATAGGGTAAGTGTTAGCAGAGGCCACCTGACACCAGAAAGTTCTTTTCAAGGGATCCTATATGTTAAAAAGGTTGAGGAAGGCTGCATTATACCTTTACTCTATAGATTAAACATTTTGTTAACGTAGATGTTTACAAAACAAATCTTGTGAAAGTAGCTGTCCTCCGTATGTTAGAGCTGTTGGGTGATCAGATGGTAAATAATGTTCTTATTTAATTGTCATTTCTTCACTTCTATATCTGCAGGTTCAGCGACACCTTCTTTGTAGAAGTCGGAGTGACAGTGACATCTAAAAAAAATACAGTATTAGAAACATTATTATGTCATTTAATATTAAATCAGTACCACATCAACCCACCTATCCAATTAGTTTTTGCAGGAAAACATCACATAGTACACTATCTCAGTCCCAGAAAAATAATCACTGCCTGGGGTGGTGCAAGGTATACTAGATTTAGTGCTATATAATAGCATTGTGCTCAATTTTATTTGCATTCAAAAACACAATCAATACAGATTAACTTTAGAAGCTAAGGCTTCTTTAGGATCACCACTACTACCTGCCATGAGGAATGGATGTTCGAGCCTGGATGCAGTCATCTGTGTCCAGGCTCGGACATCCATCCCTAACCACAGGTAACCACTTTGTGTGCAGCTACATCCAAACAGCCGTCTCTGCTGCTAGCCTGTTGTACAAGACACCGAGAATGTGTCCTGAATGGAAGATACATCTCCATGATTTTTGAGTTGTGGCTCCTTTAAGGGGAACAGCTTTGGAGATGCTGCAGGTCCTGAAGGGGTTAAGCCTCAGCTGGAGATATCTTGAAAGGCAACAGGAAGGGTTCAGTACCTGTGTCAAGGAAGTAGATTGGAAAGAGAGACTCACAAGCTGCGAGTAAAGCGGAAGCTCTTGGACAAACTGAGACTCTGATAATTGAACCCATTGTGGTCTGTCTGACACCCTAGCCATGAAGGAGCCCCCGATTTGGGACCAAATAATAGGCAGTGAGCCTGATGTATAGTTTTGTTGTACCAGGACTTTGGACTGTTAATTTGTTTTGGGCTGAAGAAAGCTATTTTTGTTTATCTGTTTTTCAAATAAACAAACTGGTTGCTTTTACCAAACTGGCTGGCTGTCATTATCTCAGACCACATTTGGTGCTCGGATGTGGGCATCTGTAATGGCTAGTGCCATTTGAAATCGGAATTCATATTTAAAAGGACCAGCACCCACTCTTGCATGTCCTGGGTTAAGGCAGCACAGGGACTGCAAACATCAGAAAGTGGCATGGAGGTGTTTATAAAAACCCTGGTTCAGATCACAGTGGTCTAGCAACAGGCCCTGGCATATGCCATCACAGCACAGCAAGGAACTAACCACTTTCTGACCACCCAGTTTACAGCCCAGCAAGAAACCACTCAAGCACAGGTTTAAAGCCAGCAAGCAAGAAAACCACTCAAGCACAGGTGGCCACTTTACAGCAAGCAGTGCAGTATTTCTTACAGGGACAGGAGCAGATAGTTTTGTCCCTTGCAACCAGGCAGCTGTAAGGGCCATCCACTACCTGCAAAATGATGATATGGAGGTGTTTTTCTAGCCATTTTTGAGAGAATTGCGGAAAGAGAGGGGTAATTCCAAGACCGGTGGGCTGGTATTATTGCTCCCTTTCCTACTGGGGATCCACAGAAGGCCTATTTTGATCTATGATTGGCTGATGCCAAGGATTACAAATGGCTGAATGAGGAAATTCTGGCCCGCCTTAGGGTGACTACCGCTAAGGCGGCACACGACTGGAGGTACCGCCTGGTCTCAGATGTATAACCTGATTCAGCTGGTCAAGAAATGGCTGCAGCTAGAGGTTTTGTTCTCAGATGGTGGAGCTGGTCATGTTAGACCGGTACCTAAGGTCGCTACCAAACGACCTTCAGTGCTGGGTGAGTCATGGAGACCCCAAGACAACAGATGAACTAATGGAAATGGTAGAGAGACCATGCTGTGATGAAGGATCTACTGGGATCTGCCAAACCTCAGGAACCCCTACCAGCGAGGAGAGTCAAGCCACCCACTGAATGTGGTAGCTGTGTTAGCATATTTTTCAACCTTTAATTTCTTTACTTCCATCTGGTGATCAGCCAGTAGCACACCTTCAGCCTTATGGTGGCTACATTCACTCCACCACTGTATTGATGGAGGAGCAACATAGTTACTTTTAGACAGCAGCATTGTCAATCAGTGGAGAGGGTAATGTTGAATGGCCTAGTAGATTTAGATGAACTTTACATAAGTGACTAAAAATTTAAAGCCTAACTCCAGCTAACACTTATTAATCAGTGACAGTAGGGGTGGGTAACTGTGGCCATCCAGCTGTTGTGGAAATACAAGTCCCATCATAGCTCTGTGAGTCATGCTTGCAACTACCAGTTTTGCAATGCTTCATTGGACATTTAGTTCCACAGTTTCCCACCCCTGAGTTATAGCAATGTTTTTTTTTTTCCTTTTGGGACACAGATTTTACAAAAATGAACTAATACCATCCATTTAACTGTTTCACAAAATAGATAAATAACTGTCACAGTTGCTTGTGCGCTGAACTAAACTGTCAAGCCATCAAATGGCTAGTGTCATAACTAATCACATGTGCAGTACCATGGCAACTGCAGATCAAACATAGGCTAAAACTAGCCATGTGACAGTGCTTTGCTATGATTGATCAATTACTATGATCCAATGTTATGAAAATGTATTTTCCTTTTCAATCTTCGATCACTGTGATTTAAAAAAAAAAAAACTACCAAAAAATTAAGGAGACACTTGGGGGAATTTATTTAAATTGGAGAAGCTGTGCATAGTAACCAATCAGCTTCTATTTTCAGCTTGTTCAATTAAGCTTTGAAAATGAAAGACAGAGGCTGGTTGATTGCCATGCTCCAGATGCTGCCTGCTCCAATTTTTTTGATAAACTCTCCCTACTGTCACTTTGACAAATCAGGGCAAAGTAACAATGTTTGCAGAGAACTCGCTTTACTATGCTTTCTTACTTATGGGGCCATGCTTCCTAACCACCTCCTTGCTGCAGTATCCCAGCATAAGCTTTGGTGTGAATATTTTTGTGTTTTGGATTTTTTTGTTCATGTTGGTTGGTGGATTATTCACTGTTTATTTATGTTTGTGGATATATGGAGAGCGTGAGGCACTGTTTGGCATCACTTATTTCCATGCTTATTTAGAACCCCCATTTGGGGTTACAGATCACCTCATCATTTATAGGCACTACAGCCTATTTTTTCTGTTCACTTATCCCCGGTAGGGGAGTCACAATTTTATGCATTTAGTGATTGTTAGTGATTTACAGGCGGTGAGCCTGATTTCTTTTTTTTTACAATTACCACAATTTGTGGTTTCACGGATTTACTTATATATCCCTCAGTGGGATCACTGTTAATGTTCTTATTCACTAGTTGACCTTGAGCATGTAGGTTATACATGCATTTATATACTGATTCCTCTTTAATTTTTCTTATGTTTACCACTATCAGTGGTTTCATTGATTCACTTCATTTCCTATCCCTTAGTGGGATCACCGTTATTTCTCTTACACCAGTTGGTTTTGTGCATGTAAAGTATACATGTGTTTATGTCACCACAATTATATTTATTTAGTATCACGGCATTCATTATGTGTATGTGTATTTTAATATTGTATTTATTTATTTTCTATGTGTTGATTTAACCCACTTAGGAGAAGCGTTACAGGAGTTTAGTTTGGGGTTTATTTCACTTATGTTGTTGATATTTAGAGATGAGCGAATTATTCAAAAATTCGATTCGGCTGATTCGCCGAATTCGCGGAATAAATTCGATTCGAGGCGAATATATTCGCTGCGAATTTAACGTGTAAAAAGGGTGTTTCTAGGCTTCAGAGAGCCTTTATATTAGTGCAGAACACTGTACCTTTAATTTAAATGCCCTTGGAGTCTGCTGGGGAAGAGAAATAATACTGTCAGTCAGTATGACATGCAGATGAGTGCCGTCGATCTTAGAATCACCGCACACTTCACTCATTTGGGCAGTCACGGGGCCAAAACCAGAGTGTGGAGCCACAGTGTGGCGGTGGAGGCAGCAGCAATGGGAGGCCATACAGCACCCTATGACAAAATGGAACCCACCAGCAGTGTGAGGAGACCTGAAAGTGGCACATGGCAGAGTGTGGCGATGGAGACAGCAGCAATGGGAGGCCGTACAGGGACCCATGACACACTCTGGACCTGGCAGCAGCATGAGGAGGCGGTACAGGGGCCCATGACAGATTACGGGCCTGGCAGCAGCATGAGGAGTCGGTACGGGGGCCCATGGCAGATTACGGGCCTGGCAGCAACAATGGGAGGCCATACAGCACCCTATGACAAAATGGAACCCACCAGCAGTGTGAGGAGACCTGAAAGTGGCACATGGCAGAGTGTGGCGATGGAGACAGCAGCAATGGGAGGCCGTACAGGGACCCATGACACACTCTGGACCTGGCAGCAGCATGAGGAGGCGGTACAGGGGCCCATGACAGATTATGGGCCTGGCAGCAGCATGAGGAGTCGGTACGGGGGACCATGGCAGATTACGGGCCTGGCAGCAACAATGGGAGGCCATACAGCACCCTATGACAAAATGGAACCCACCAGCAGTGTGAGGAGACCTGAAAGTGGCACATGGCAGAGTGTGGCGATGGAGACAGCAGCAATGGGAGGCCGTACAGGGACCCATGACACACTCTGGACCTGGCAGCAGCATGAGGAGGCGGTACAGGGGCCCATGACAGATTACGGGCCTGGCAGCAGCATGAGGAGTCGGTACGGGGGCCCATGGCAGATTACGGGCCTGGCAGCAGCATGAGGAGGCGGTACAGGGGCCCATGGCAGAGTGGCGGAGCGTAAGCATCTAAAATTGAAGGCCATACAGAGGCCTATGTTAAAAAGTCCCCCCAGCAGCAGCGTGGGGAGATGACTAATAGTCGTCTAATGCGCACAACACTGAACGTCCCAGCGTTTGTCAACGATTTGCCGTTAAGTGATGCAAACCCGCTGAACCACGTTCATGAGGAGCCGGTACAGGGGGCCATGAATCAGTATGGACCTGGCAGCAGCGTGAGCAGACGACAGAGGCACATGGCGCAGGGTGGCGGTGTAGGCAGCATTATTCTGAAGCCATACACAGGCCTAGGTTAAAAAGCGGAAGCCATCCGCAGCGTGAGCAGACGACAGAGACACATGGCGCAGGGTGGCGGTGGATGCAGCAGTATTCGGAAGCCAAACACAGGCCTCGATTAAAAAGCGGAAGCCGTCAGCAGCGTGAGCAGACGACAAAGGCACATGGCGCAGGGTGGCGGTGGAGGCAGCAGCAATGGAAGGCCATACAGCACCCTATTACAAAATGGAACCCACCAACAGTGTAAGGAGACCTGAAAGTGGCACATGGCAGAGTCTGGCGATAAAGTCAGCAGCAATGGGAGGCCGTACAGGGACCCATGACACACTCTGGACCTGGCAGCAGCAAGAGGAGGCGGTACAGGGGCCCATGGCAGAGTGGCGAAGCGTAAGCAGCTTAAATTGAAGGCCATACAGAGGCCTATGTTAAAAATAATAACATGTTTGGGGCATGATTCATGGCGGATTTAGTCAGTTGTGTCAGGAACTGGTGGTTTGAAATCCAGACTAATCCACGCCTGATTCATTTTCACAAACGTGAGTCTCTCCACACTTTGGGTGGACAGTCGTGTCCTCCGCGGAGTTACAATACCTCCTGCCGCACTGAAACACGCGCTCCGATGCCACGCTACTGGCCGGGCATGACAGCCTTTCAAGGGCAAATTCAGCTAGTTGGGGCCAAAGGTCAAGTTTCGTTGCCCAGTAGTCAAGGGGATTGTCTACCTCGGTTGGCAGGGTGCTGTCCAAGTAGGCCCGAGCCTGTTGTTTGAGGTCCTGCTCCAGGTCCACCTGATGCTGCTGCTGCTGCGGCTGGTTAGTAGTTTCCTCACTGCGCTGGTGAAGAAAGCTACTCATCATCGACTGCAGACTGAGGCAGCCGCTGCTGGTGGAGCTGCCACTGCTCCTACCACCCCACCCCTCCCCTGCTGCCATGGCAGCGGAACGCGAGCGCACAGGGCCCACAGTGTCTGAGGATGGACGTTGGCGCAGAAAGGCAGAGACCAACTGACTACATAGGTGATTTTTATAGTACTTTATTTTGGCCTCCCTCTCAGCAGGTGTGAAAAAGGCCACCATTTTTGAAAGGTAGCGAGGGTCCAACAAGGTGGACAGCCAAAAGTCATCCCTCTGTCTGATGGTTATTATTCGGCTGTCGCTACGCAAGCAAGCGAGCATGCTATGGGCCATTTGTGCCAAGGAATGCGAGGGACTCCCTGCCTCCATCTCCACAGCATACTGCCACGGTGCGTCTGGGTCCTCTGTCTCCTCCTCCTCCTCCTCTACCAGATGCTCCTGCTCCTCCACTCCTGTCCGCTGAGTGGAAAAACCACCCATTTCACTCAATAATTCCTGAGCACCAATGTCCTCCTCTACCTCCTCCTCTTCTTCCTGTCCTGCCCCCACAGGAGTCATGTGCGTTGAGATCTGTGCGCCACGTCTACCGCACCCTGACCAGCCATTGTTAACAGCATTTGTTCCAGGACGTGCAACAGAGGAATGACGTCGTTCATCCCATAGTCCTGCCGACTCACGAATAGCGTGGCCTCCTCAAAGGGCCTGAGCAAGCGGCAGGTGTCACGCATGAGCTGCCAATGGCTGACATCTAAGTTACACAGGGGAGTACCTTTATCCGCTTGTAACATCAGGAAATCGGTGATGGCCTTTCGCTGTTCGTAAAGGCGGTCTAACATATGTAGGGTTGAATTCCACCTTGTTGCAACGTCGCAGATCAGGCGATGCTGTGGAATTCCGTTCTGCCGCTGCAGCTCAAGGAGGGTGTGCTTTGCGGTGTAGGAATGGCTGAAATGCATGCAAAGTTTACGTGACATTTTAAGGATGTCTTGCAGTGGGATGGTGGATTTTAGGAACCGCTTGACAACCAGATTGAACACGTGAGCCATGCATGGCGCATGGCACAACCTTCCTTGACGCAGAGCAGACACCATGTTCTTTCCGTTGTCGGTCAACATGGTTCCGATTTTCAGTTTGCGCGGAGACAGCCATCTGTCGATTTCTCTGTTCATTACACTGAGAAGTTCCTCCCCTGTGTGACTACGTTCGCCAAGGCATACCAGGTGCAGCACAGCGTGACACCATTGCGCCCTGCACATGTGATATGCCGGTCGGGTAATGGGACTTGGCACGGGGGGTGGCGGCTGAGGACACGGCGGAAGAAGAGGTGGTAGAGGCGGACATCTTTGCTGGACCAAGGACGTGCAAACGTGGAGGCAAAAGCGGCGTGACCTGTCCAAGTTGCTGGTGTGGCTGTGCCGGCACCACGTTCACCCAGTGGGCAGTAAATGACATGTACTGTCCCTGACCGTAGTTACAGCTCCACATGTCGGCGCTGCCGTGCACTTTGGCAGAGACCGACATGCTCAAAGACTGGCCCACCATCTCTTCTACATGTGAATGCAGGGCTGGCACTGCCTTTTTGGCGAAGAAATGCCGGCTTGGCACTCTCCACCGCGGCTCGGCACAAGCCATCATTTCTCGGAAAGGTGCTGAGTCCACCACTTGGAAAGGGAGGGACTGCAGCACCAGCAACTTGGACAGGAGGACGTTCAGCTTCTGCACCGTCGGGTGCGTGCTCGCAAACTGTTGTCTCTTGGAAACGGATTCCAAGAAAGACTGCTGACGGAATCCGTGAAGAGGAGTAGCAGGAGAAGGAGCATCTGAACGAGCGGAAGATGCCAACGAGCGACAACTCCCCTCAGCAGAGGTGTTGGAGCCTTGACTGGCTGATAGAGGGCGATTGACGTCGGGTGACGGAGCAAGTAACGGAGCGGGGTGATGGAGCGGGGGCTGGGGCAGGCAGAACCGCCGTATCTTTATCACGGTTTTCCCAGGCCACCGAATGGCGACGCTGCATATGCTGACGCAACGCTGTAGTCCCAACATGGGCCCCCTGGCCACACTTGACTTTCTGGCCACATAGTCGACATACGGCTACGTTTACTTCCTCGGGCGGCTTGACGAAAAATTGCCACACCGCCGAGTAGGAAACTTTGCCCCCGCTACTCCTCACTGGCTGACTGCTACTTCCTCCGTGCACACCGGCACCACTACTGGCCGTGGTGGTAGGCTGCAGTGGAGCTGGTGCTCTACTCCGTGGCCTTTTGCCTCCACTGACACTGCTGCGACCCTGCTGCCTCCTGGGCAACCCACCAACTGTTTTGCTCGCTGGCAAGCTGGCACCCTCTTCTCCTGATGATGCGGAAGCAATAGCCTGATGACGATGAGGCTGCCAAGTGCGATCAGCCTCATCATCATCAATTAGGGTCTCCGCGTCACTACTAGCCCCCTCGGCTGCCTGTGGGTCAGGAGACAGACCTGTCTCTAGACCGGCTACCGAGCCACTCTCCTCACCAGTACTTCTTCGCCTGGCTGCTGAAGAGGCAGATGTCTCCCCCCGTTCCTGACCGCCCTCTGTTAGCTCTTCCTCACTGTACAGTGGGGCTGAGCCCACAGCATGCGATACTTCGCTTGGTGAGGGAACACCAAAGGACAGGGGCAGGTAGAGGACACGTGATTTCAGTGGGCTTGCTCCCGGGCCATGCCAACTAACGGTTGTGTCTGATGTACCCACCGACCGTTGGCTGTAGGTGTCAGAGGTGACCTGGGAAGAGGAAGACGACCGAGTCAACCAATCGATGACGGCAGGGTTGTCGGTGGAGACACTGGGAGCACTGGCCTCTGGCTGCGACTAGTGCTGCCTTGACCCCTTCCTCTGCTGCCACGTCTGCTCGCTCCTGAAACATTGCCTCCTCTGCCACTCCTCTGCGTGTTGTCTGACATACTCTTTAATTCAATAGTGGTTGTGAAGCAGAAAGTAACTATTCTGTGTCCCTGAGTAACAATTCTGTGTCCCTGAGTAACGATTCTGTGTCCCTCAGTAACAATTCTGTGTCCCTGAGTAACAATTCTGTGTCCCTGAGTAACAATTCTGTGTCCCTGAGTAACGATTCTGTGTCCCTGAGTAACAATTCTGTGTCCCTCAGTAACAATTCTGTGTCCCTCAGTAACAATTCTGTGTCCCTGAGTAACAATTCTGTGTCCCTGAGTAACGATTCTGTGTCCCTCAGTAACGATTCTGTGTCCCTGAGTAACAATTCTGTGTCCATGAGTAACAATTCTGTGTCCCTGAGTAACAATTCTGTGTCTGTCCCTGAGTAACGATTCTGTGTCCCTGAGTAACAATTCTGTGTCCCTGAGTAACGATTCTGTGTCCCTGAGTAACGATTCTGTGTCCCTC